TTCTCCTTTGTTGAACTGTTTTATAATATGGTTTGGCATTAATTGGTGGATGATCTCGTGTGCCAACAACATGATGAATTGGTGTTTTAACTTTTCTACGTGTTAATGTATCAATAACGTCTTGTACGTGGTTGAAATATGCGATTGAATGAGTGAGAAAAACCGGTTTTCTGAAAATCTGGTCTCAGATGAGACTAAGGCCAGTTGCGACCATTATATTCGCAATCAGCACCATCGATTGCCCATATCCCCCTTAGTTTCATCGAAAAAGCGATTTGCAACTTGGAGCGGTTCTCTAGTAAGACCGGTATTCATATGAAATTTTTGCAAGACTTCTTTTCACCGAGGTCACAGTGGCGAGCATTGTGTTATTCCATTAGAAATCAAAGAGTTCAGAAGTTAATTGACGGGACGGCCGAAACAACAAGGTTCAACACGATTTAGTGAGTAGAGAAAATAAAAATGAACTATCCGAGAACAATCAAGTGACCACTGAAAAATAAAATGATGACAGTTGTTGCAACGAAAAGGACACTCATCAGGAAAACAATGAAGACAGCTTGCTTGAGCATACTAAACAACAAAAGGGATTCCGTAAGGATTACAAAAAAACCGACATGTACATGGTATTAAACCGAACGATCCTTGTACTCGCTAGTCGAAGGAAAGATAGCAGCGAAAGAGCAAGATGATATTGGACAACGAGAGTAATTGTTAGTTAACCAACCAGTGCTACAATCTTTTGCGATTTTGAGTTTCCCTTCGATTTCATCGTTAGTTAAAAACCATAAAGTAAAGCAAATCCGTCATTATTATGCATCAAAAATGGGAAAACATCTAAGTTTCTTTCAAAAGCCTTGCAAGGCCTCAGATTGAAGACAATATTTGTTCTAAATGAATGAACGTTATTTTATATACTTGAATGACCACTTGAATGTAGTAAATACCGTCTTCATCTCGCATCAGGAAGGCACAGGATGGAACCCACCAAGAGTCACAAATCTTTTGTTTGTAAGTCTTCTCAACGTCTCACTGCTCCTGTCTGGCTTTTGCTGATCCTCAACCTCCACTCAAAACCTGGTGCTCTGTTAATCTCGGGTCGTGTTCTGCAGTTTTCACTGCAAAATGTGAGTACATTCCTTGATTTTTTTCACTGGTTTCTAAAACATTAATTTTTCCACCAGTGAGAGCAGAGGAACATAGTTGTTCAAATAATGGGATACTAGGACTATAGGCATGGAGAATGCACATATTCCCTTAACCGAAAGTCAAGAGTTGTATAAAAAAACTTTCTGGTGCTACTGGCGTTCGCAAAGAGCGAAGAAGTATTATGACAGATTAAAGAATGCTTAAAGAATAGCTCTGAAACTTACGATGTAGAGGTAATCGACTACGGCAAATGACCATGAATGATCTATATGAGCGATCCTACTGGGCACACTCTAAAAAATATAGTCGTAGGTTAATAAACTATCAAAAATGGTTTATTGAGACTAATGAACCTTTTTCAAAAACACCTTTCCCGTTTTTTATTTCCAAAAAACTAAAAAGCGTTCGGGACAGATGCAAAATGAAAAACGGGCGGTTTTTTATCAAAATAAAAATCCCTTTTCAGTTTTCTGTCGAGTCTAAAATACCAGCTAAAAAACTGGCATTTTAGACTCAACAGAAAACCCCCCGGTTTCCATTTTGCATCTGTCATGAACGCTTTTTAGTTTTTTGGAAATAAAAAACGGGAAGCGTTTTTGAAAAAGGTTTATTAGTCTCAATAAACCTTTTTTGATAGTTTATTAATCTACGACTATTTTTTAGAGTGCAGACGCTTTTCTCAATATAGAATATAAGCGAAAAATGTGCGAGTCTATTAAGTTCTGTCTCTGACGTTGATAAGCACCGCGATATATCGCGATGTTTGTCACTAATGTTTATTTGTTGCTGAGAATCCCATGAACCACGGTACGATCTGGAGTTAACTGGACCATAATCATTTGTCTTTATTCTGTGATATATTGATGTTTTGGCTTGTGTTGGACGGCTTATATCAAATATGTGATGATAACGTTTTAAAACTGTTTTTAGTTGCTGACGTTGTTTTTCATCTTGAAGTTGCTTAATTGAATGATTTAGGTAGAGCAGTTTTTATAACAAGAAAAAGGGAGAGTACAGTACTGCTATAAAGATCATAGTAATAGAATTTTAGCAAAATTCACACACTTTGATTTTATTATTCGAGCTTTCGAAAGCTTCTGCTTTCATCTTCGTGAAAAACAAAATGACAAAACTACTGAGAAATAGGTTCAAAGTACATAAGAGAGAGAGAGAGAGAGATAAAGAACTAAAATGATTTGTACACTAACTGAAACGGTCAACGGATATATTTATTCGAATACATATGCTCGAAGAACATTATTTTGCCCTCAAAATTCTCCTGATCGGAGAAATGGATGTAAAAGTTAAATGATTTAAAACACTCTTAGTCGATGTTTAACTTCATTTAGAGGGTAGGGTGTCCGTGACTTTTTTTTGTAAATAATGCTTCTTTTATTACACGTCTTCGCCAGTCGGATTCCAAAGACAAAGTTTCACATTTTGTAAAATCAATGCAAAATAATGTTCTTCGAACATATGTATTCGAATAAATATATCCGTTGACCGTTTCAGTTAGTGTACAAATCATTTTAGTTCTTTATCTCTCTCTCTCTCTCTTATGTACTTTGAACCTATTTCTCAGTAGTTTTGTCATTTTGTTTTTCATGAAGATGAAAGCAGAAGCTTTCGAAAGCTCGAATAATAAAATCAAAGTGTGTGAATTTTGCTAAAATTCTATTACTATGATCTTTATAGCAGTACTGTACTCTCTCCTCTTTCATGTTTAATTGAATTCTCTAATGTTAACCTGACGTCTTCAATAATACATGTTGATTGTTGTTGTTTATTCTCGACGTTTTTGTCGACATCATGGCGACGGCGTTGAATATGATGAATATTATTATTATTTAAATTTGCCAATATGTGTTGTTCTGTGGGTTTGATAACTTGATCATCAAATTGCTTCTCACATCAATATTTGACGGTGCCCCAAAACGTGTTTTTTGACAGTATACAATTGCGATTGTTAGGATTATATATTGTTAATGTTGTTAAATATTGATCAACGTGTAGTAATGCATGCGGCATAATAATAGCAAGGTTGTTATTAGTCGGTTGAAATATCAATTGATTAGTTTGTGATACTGGAACAACGGCATGAACGACCACTTCATGATATAGTTTAATTGGAATTGTTTTTAATAGCTGAACAGGTAGATCAACGCTGTCTTGATCAATCTTAACAGTAGCTTTTCCTTTTTTGGTCGCTATTTGTACATATTTTGTTGCAATTGTTGCATCATATTTCTGAATCCAATCCTGCCTTAGTATACATGAACAACATAATGATTTTGTGACTGCTGCTATTATTTTAGTAACGATGTTATCAATTCTTATTTCTAATTTCATATGGCCAATTATTGTGAACGATGTTGATCCATCAGCGGATGTAAAATCGTAATTTTTGTGATGAATTTGTTTCAAAACCGACTCTTTGATAAATCCGTTGCTCCAGTATCCACCATAACTTTCATTGTTCGGTTATTAATGAGAAAATAAATGAACGATAAAGTTGATGACTTTATTGATGGGGCGGAGTCAACACCATCGCTTGACTCCGGTTCTAGTTTAAATAGTGTTGCGGAACCCGACAGAGACGGACTATGTGCTCGGGTTGATGACATCGATAACATATTTGTTCATTATTTGGATAACTATCTCTGCGTTGTTCATTTACATAAGATGGACGGTATCGTTGTTGTTGTGGTGGTTGATGACGATCGAATGTAGACTGGCCTTGTTCACTTTGAGGGATTAGTGTTTGTGTCTGATGAACATATGCTGGTGACGATAACGATGACTGTGGTCGTAAGGACGCTCACTTAGCTAAAATATGTTGTTACTTACATTGCATCATCGGAGGTTTGATTTAAATATTTACCCTGTATATTTTTTCAACTTAGGCTTTTTACAAAAAATTATAACTGCACATGTTTTGTGAATTTTGAAGCTTTGATAAAACCGTCAGTAAAAAGAATTATTAACTCTTTCACGGTTTTCATCTTCACGCTTTTATTTTTACTATTTCTCTTTGGCAAACTGTCAGGTTACGATTTTATTTCTACAGTTTGAGCTTTACGATATTTTTTCATGGTTTTAATTACACAGTTTTCAAACTTTTCTTTCAGGACTTTCCTCCGATGATTCGAAAGTGGACAGTTTTGTTTCTATGATTTTAACCTTTACGGTTTTACTTTCGTAGTTTTCTTTATCATGAAAACCGTGAAATTAAAAAGTATAAAAGAACTGTGAAAGTAAAGTCATAAAGGTTAAAACCATAGAAACAAAACTAGGCATACACCAGTTAAAAACCGGTTTTTATCCTCTTTTCACAAAAAACTAAATTGTACCAAGAGCATATTAAATTTTTCTCACAACTGAGTTTTATAGAGCCGATCTAGCACTTATAAAAGAATATTTAATAAGAGTCCCATTTAAATAACCGAAACCGATAAAAGAGCAACCGTAGAAAGGCGATTGTAACAATAAAGAAAAAAGATGGAAAGATTCCCCATAGCTCATTTTATAGAAAAATGTTTGCTCTACAAACTCACTTGTGAGAAAAATTTAATAAGCCATACTCTTCATATATTATATTTCTGATAAAAGCTGAAAATATCGGTTTTTAACCGCTGCAGGTCTAAAGAATCCACTTTCGAACCATCAGAGGAAAGCCCTGAAATAAAACCGGCAGTTTGAGAACTGTGAAATTAAAACCACAAAAAATATCCTAAAGCTCAAAACTGTAGAAATAAAGTCGTGAACTCATGATATAGTTTTATACTTCATGGTGTTCTTTCAATGGTTATGGATTTCAGAATTTTTCTTACTATATGGTCTTTTTCACCGTGTATAATTTAAAAATGGTTTAACATTTTTCGTTTCTTCAAGAGTTCCATAGCATCAAGCCTGTAGGAACATATAGTTAGTTTTATTTTAATCAATTTCACATGAAAGCGAGATGTCAGTAGGGTTTAATGATTTTTATATATATTTCAATTTTTAAGTGAATATTTTGATTTAACTAGACTACTGTAGAAAATATAAATTCTATATTTAGATTTATTAAAAATGATGGGAAAACTCATCTGTTTTGTTTTCACTGTCTTCGGGGCTTTGTGCATAATTTTTTTTCATAAGTGGATCGATTTTATCCATGATCTGTTTCGCATCCATGAGATTATTAAACATTGTGTCAGCTATCTTATGGAATTCTACAGCACGTGCATGTCGCATTGCGGCAAGTTCACGAAATTTACCACTGATGTCTCGTAAAATAATTGTTTGACTGTGCATCTCATAGCAATCACGAACTTGATAATACATGTTCGCGACTGTGATTAAATTATCGAAAAGCTTAGCTTCCGATAATTTTATCTTATTATAAATTTGATTTAGGTTTGTGGATGGAAAATGTATTGAACTAATAATCGGCATTGATAATATGTTTTCTTTTTCTTTGCAAACAATCTGCCAGTAGTTTACTGCGATGTTGTATGCGCCTACGTTGCTTAAAATACCTCCAATACTTGACAATGATTTATTATCATTCTCTAGTAATAATGTAGCAGTAACTGATGGATCGCTAGCATCACGTCTTATTATTTTTAATAATGTTTGGTGTGCATCAATATCAATTATATCATCAAATGTTAATGTTTGACACTTTCTATTATTTTCTGCTATAATTGGAGTAGTTGCTGCTTTGGATAATGCTTGATGTAACATCTGTCTGTATCTTCTTTCAATTTCAGTATATTTCTCAGCATAAACATCACGCTTACTGGCAAACTTCATTAAACTAATAATCGATCGATAAAGTACTATACGATCGACTAATGGTAAATTATCATCAATTTTTAATTCTTCGATATATTTTGTATGATCATCATTGTACGCATCAAATAACGTTATTATTATGTAATTGAATGTTGCATCAATCATCAAATCGAAGTGTTTATCTAAACTTAAATATTGTTTATAATCTAATAAATCATAAAATAATCTATTTTTATCACCATTTTCCGCTAATTCTGTCGTCATACAAGCCTTTTTTAATTCAATCCATATATTATACTGAGAAGAATTTTCATCAGTACTATCTATATCATCTAACAAATCGGCGTAATATTTAATAATATCATTTAGTGAAAGATTTTCGCTGCTAGATAATTTATCGAATAATTCCTGAATTTTATACTTTGATTGACCATAAGAGATAATATACAATTGAAAAGCATTTAAATAATTGGCAAAAGCTGTTGAATAATCATTTATTTGTAATAAAATTTCCGCACATTTTACATAAATATCAGCTAATATTTTGTAATCCATTTTTGTTAATGAATCATCTATTTTTGATTGTTTAATATGCCAAATTCTCTTTGTTATTAATTCAAGCAAATATGGCCATGTTGATGAATTTTTTATGTTCCAATTCACTGACAATGATGCTGTATAGGATAGGTTTTTACTCCGTTCTTCAATGTCTTTTCGGAAAAATTTTAACGCTAACTGATAATCGTGTAATAAATAATAAGTTACAGCAGTTGCTAAAGACTTTGTGAAAAACGAATTCTTTTCCTTGTTATTGTCACTTTTAAATGTGTCGCTTTCACCCGTTTCATTTTGATCTTCCTCAATCGTTTCACCACTTGAAATTTTTTTTGTGTTCATAATTATGTTTTGCGTATCATAAACTCTTGTGACGTATTTTTTCATTCGATTATAATAGGTTTCCGCAATCATGTTCGATCTACTTAAACTAGCTATTTTCCAAAATATTACATGCCTTCTGTCATCTTTATCCGGATTTCTAGCATTTTTATAATTGTCTAATGCGTCTTGTTTATTATTAAATATTTCGCTAATAAATCCAATTGTTTCATAAATACTATCTGTTATATGTTCATTTGAGTTCTGATAAATTATTAGTTTTAATTGTAAACTAAGTGCTTTTTCATAACTCCTTTTACATTCATGTTCTATATCACTTTTTATTGATGAAGATTTAAAATAGGCATAACCATATTTCAAGTAGATATACAGTAAATCTTCTAAAAAAGAGACGAATAACATATTGCTTGTAAAATATCGTACTGCTAACAAATTTGCTAATTCTTCTTTCATAAAATTTCTTTTGGCAGTTTCCATAATTTCCAATGGTATTTGAGCACACCAGGTCTCTGCTGCCATTTCCGCATTGGCTAAAGCCTGACTAGTAACCCTGGGTTTACATGACATTATGTGGGCATTATACATATCAACCTTTGCCAAACTAAACTCATCTTCACCTTTTATCTTGTACCATAGTTCATAACTTTCTATAGCTTCATTATATTTACCCATTTTGCAATAGACATCGCCTATGATCTTATAGGTCTTTTTAATATCTTGATGTTCCATTGAGAAATTTGATATCTGAATGTCTAAAGCTTTTTTATAGCATTCTATGGCCTGTTTATAATTCTGTTCTTCAGCATAGATATCTCCTATAAGTATATGATCAATAACTATACTTGGATGATGTTGTGAAAAGGATTGTAATTTGAACGCTCTTGACTCTTTAGCCATTAAATGTGCTTTGTCATATTTAGCACATTTTAAATATTGTCTAGCTAATTCATGATTAAGAGCAGCTTTAATAGCAATTATTTTATTATCCACGTCTTGTGTTTGAAGATATTTTTCAAGTTCATGTAATTTGTGTAATGCTTTGTCTGTTGAACGGTTTAAATTATTGTAACAATTAGCTATGGTTAAATAAATTTCTGCTATTAGAAGTGGATCATTTTCGGTCTTTATAAATTTGAGAGTTTTTTCATAGTGAACAATAGCCATGTTATAATCTTGTAAATGATTATAAACATCAGCAAGAATAATTGAATAAATGTAATTATTATTATCGTCATTAAAAGTAAATTCCAAATATCTTTTTGCTTCTTCATATCGGAATGATATCGTACATAAAAGTCCTAATTCAAAATTATACTGCATTTGATTTGATATCTGATGTTCATTTTTATAATATTCAAATATTTTACAAACTGCTTTATGTAACAATTCAGTGGGACAATAGTTTTTTAGCGACATTGCTGTTGTCCGTAGTAATTTGCCTATATATTGTTTTTTTTCACATATATAAGCCTGTTTCCACATATGAATGGCACTGTCGAAGTTGGCACTGTTTGGATTACTTGTTAAATATATATAACAAATACCAATTAAATATTGTATCTGTGTTAAATATTGTAAATCCGCTGTTATGGTCAATTCATATTTTGAGAGTAACGTTTGTGACTTATCTTTGTATCGTTCCATAACTGCAGTAAACCATTTTTCCTTTCCATATTCAATAAATCCGGCTGTATAAGCTTTTATCAATGTTGAATTGAGACTTGGTAATATTTTTTCATAGATATGTATTGCGTTGTTATACAGACTCTCGGATGCGTTAAAATGTTTTTCGCGAGCAAAGCAATTATCTGCATATTTGATAATTATATCTCCGGCTGTTAAATGTCGCTCTACTGTATCAGATAATAATTTCACCTGTGTGTCAGATAAAATATAAGCTGAATGAAAAAAATTTTCTGCGATATCGTAATCTTTTTTCAAATAATGTACATAGCCAATGTTACACTGAAGAGTTGCAAAATGCTGTCGTGTTGATAACGGTTCACGTAATAATGTTCTTTCAGCTTCATTAAATACTTGAAGCGCTTCATCTAAATAGGACAAATTCATATAGGCATTACCAATATTATTATATATTTCCCCTAATGCATTATTATTCGCATAATCGAGTCTTGCTTGATGACTTAATGCTTGTTTGTAATAGTGTAGTGCATCACCATATAAACCTTGTCGCGCGTATATCATTCCTAAACAATTGTAAGCAGATGCAATTGATGGATCATTATTTAATATACCCGTCTCTAATAGTGAGTTTAAATATCTTTTAACAGCACGATATTCACCTAATTCAACTAAGTATCTTGCCAATAACATGCATAAACCGGATTGTGAACATTTTTCAACTTTTAATCTCATTTCATCTACTACTGATTTGTCTAAATCACTAGCTAATAGTTTAATACGATAATAATTTTCGTCTCCAACGGGTTCTTCAATTTTATCAACAGAAAATACTGAGCCCATACTAAATAATGTTTCTTGTTCTTCTGGATGAAATGCAATCTTTTCTATATTAGCAAATGCTGTACATGCTGTTTCTGGATCAAATTGTATTTCGAATAATACCGAAATAGCACCTTTTGGTACAAACTGATTTTTCGCATAACCTGCTGATATTTTTTCATCTGTTGTTGTAGATATAAAACCATTCATTGTAATTAATCCTTGTGTTTGTTTCATTTGTTCAAAACTACTTTTGCTTATTTTATCGGCACGATAAAGTGTGAGTGGTTTGTGATCTTTTTTCGCATTATTCAAAAACATTGTTTCAATCATTTGACATAAATCGCTTATATAATAACGATAGTTCATTAATAATTCAAAATTTTCTATACGTAATATACTATTAATTTGATAATAGATCGATGCCTTATCACACGAATACCACCATATTGCGTTGTCAAAATTTGGCACTATATCTCCACCTTTATCCGGGTTTAATTCTTCCTAAATCAAACTAACGCATTTCACTAATCGACGAAGGAGAGAAAAGACACTATTTCCAATGATATAAAAAAATAATTCTTCAGATAATTCTAAAAAGGGTAATTCTTTCGTACACGTACTGGAGTTTACATCGACGTTGTTTGAATCGTTAAAGTGCAATAGGGCTAGTACAATTCCAGCTCTTGATGACGAATATTACGTTTAAAAAATTTTAAAACAACGGTCCGTAGCTACAGGAGGTCCCATTTTCCAGAAGAACAGACATTTTCATCATTTTTTAATAAAACATTTTTTTGAACTGGAGCTGTCAGATGAGAATCTATATATGTAGGGCTGCAGAATGTCTAACTGACGAAAACTTTCAAAATGTTAAGGAGAATTGTAGGAAATCTTTTAAATATCACCTTTTCGAAAAGTAGGCATGTTTTGTGAATCATACTTTCCCCACGAAACCAGTCAAAACAACACAACAATATATGCATCCGATGCATCTTTTCAAGCTATTCGACGAAGTGGTTTTCATTTAGATTTAAAAAGAGGTAATCAATGAAAAAAGTTCACTTTTAAAAGGCGCTTTCCTTGGTTTTTTCAAAGTTTGAGCATTTTGCCGCGCCATGTCAAGGGAATATAGAGCGAGAGGCGACATCCGTTTCTCATGTGCTCCACATGGGCTATCAGAAAACGGGTCTTCGCGGTTGGTTTAGTACTTCGACAAAAAGTCGAATATAGATTATCTTCAATGAAAAAAGGCGCATAGTGAACTTTTCACATGTACATCAAATCTTTTCACTTTTCACCCGTTACGCTGATTACGAGTATACGATTCTTTTTATTTCAAAAATATTTCAATCAGTAAAAATTTGACTTATTTATTCTTTAGATCATGCAGATTTTACATTCTGTTGGAACTTGCTATCTCTATGATCCCAAATTTTTAAAGTGCGACGAACGTCACTCACTAATACCGTGATTGTCTCTGGCGTTGATGAAAGTTGATGAAAATGAGAATGTAGCCCTTAGTGATTGCATTGCCATTGGGTTTCAGAAATAGCTGCGGACTTGAGGCTTTTGCACCTGGATAGAAGACACTTAGGACATTCTGAAACATTTATTGGTGTTAAATTTTCGTTTTATCTTCATAGAAATATTTGAATAGGAAATACGCCAAAAATGACCATTTTGTTTTGAGTTTCAGATCCTTAACGTATGTTCTGTTCACTGAACTTTTGTTAAAACGTCTTTTCCAAAGTGACTGTGACCTGGAGTTTCATAAAAAAGTTTTGAGGGCACAAGAATTTCATTGAAAGTTTTAACGAACTTGCTTTTAGTGAAGGTTTTTTTTTTGAAAATATTTTTCGATATCCCACTTTTTTCAATCAGATTCTGGAAGAAATCTCGTGCTGACATTCGGAAGGATCTACCAAACCATTAGTTGAATGACGGATTCAAAGATCAAGTCCCTTCTTCATTCATAGGAGTAAGCAAAGTCTTTATAGGACTTATGCTAAATATAATTTTTACCTCTAATCCTGTTAATTTTCTTTTGTACGACATTTTAAATACTTCAACATATAAATTTTGCACATTCCACTCTTGTGTAACTTGTAATTTTGTTTTTTGTATTTTACTTGCTAGGCTTTGTAACGTTTCTTCAAATTCTTCAACATTTCGTTGATCATTATCAATAATAGAAAGTAATTTATTTGTATTTTCTTCACACTTCTGAAAAGTGCTTTGCATACTAATGAGATTATTTCTTATTTGTTTTGTAAATTCTTCACAACCACTTTTATCATCATTTGATTCTTGGAGTTTTTCCAGATTTTCTCGAATTTTTTTCACTTGATCATGAATTTTTTGGACAATGGATTCATTTTTTTCCAAAGTTTCCTATGGGAAAATGCAAAAAGACAGTCCATTGTTTCAAAAATAATACTAAAATATAACTATGCGAAATATTTCTAATATTACCTTCTCTATCCAAGCAGAAAAACGTAAGAGAAAAAATCTAGATATACTCGATGGAGTATCGTCCGATTCTTCAGCAAAAGTATCTAATAGAGTAAAGAATACCGGGTTAGCTAAATACATCGGGTTTGACCCGATTACAGGATACAATACCCGATGCATCTAGTAGGAAATTATGGTTGATAAAAACCAATAAGAACCAGATACATCTAGCGATTAAGCGTACGATTCATCTAGCTGTTTTAGAAAAAGAATCGCTAGATACAAAAAACAATGTAATGAGTTTACAATTGAGATGAAAAAAACAGAGACAGAGCTTGTGCAGAGATTCGAACTCTGTACCTATAGCGATCAGTAGTCTACTTCTATATATACCATTGTATCACACGAGCTTACACAAATACATATACATTTTTCATTCTCTTTCGTGTTATGAATAAAAAGTATCGCAAAAGTAAGGTGCGCGTAAAGCAAAAGTGGAGCAAAATTGTTTTTACATTTATTACACATTGTTGGATAGAGCTTTCACGCTGATCACGAATATGTGTGCTTCGATTTTTCAGAATCGATTTTTCATTCGTTGAAACAGAAAATTCATTTTTTCTAAATCACAGGCGAAAAAGTCGGGATTCTGCCTGTAATTCTTAATTTTCTCCATCGGAACTCAACTTTTGTGCAATAAAATATCATATTCGGAATCAGGATCAAAAACTGAGTCGAATGATATATATTTCGAAAAAATTCGTTGATTTTTGGTGAAAATTTCAGTAATTTTTCGACCTGAAAGTTCGAAAAAATTTGAAGCTGTTAGATAGTATAGAAATATATATCATTCGACTCAGTTTTTGATCCTGATTCCGAATATGATTTTTTATTGCATAAAAGTTGGGTTCCGATGAAG